GTTTAAGCATAAAGTTGCCATATAACCAGACAGTTCCACTACTAAATATATGCTCAAGCGAAATGAAATCATGTCTGTACGAAAACTTGAAAGTGAATGTTCATAACAGCATTATTTATAATAGCACAAAGCTGTAAACAGTGCAAATGTCCATCAGCTGATGAATGGGCAAAGAAAATATTGTATATCCATATAATATAGTATTATTTGGCAGTAAAAAGGAATGACTATAATACCTGCAGCAACACTGAAAATATGCTAAGCAAAAGAAGCCGTTCCCTGAAGACCACATACTGTCAAATCTTATTTATATGAAATGTCTAGAATAGGCAAATGTGTAGATAGAGATCGAAATTAAATTAAATTAGTGGTTTATTGGGCTGAGGGATGTTGCAGAGTGATGGCTGACTGGTATATGGTTTCATTTTGAGAGTGGTAAAAACGTTCTAAATTTAAATAGCAGTGATGGTAGCACAACTCTGCATATACTGAAAACATTGACTAGCACATTTTAAATGGGTGAATTTTACGCTGTGTGAATTAGATCTCAGAAAAGCTGTTAACAAAAGCAGTTCAGGTGCGTGGAGGTGTGTGACTGTAGAACAGACTGAATGTGAGTGCTGGAATGCAATAGCAGTGCTTTTATGTGCATGTGAATTACCTGGGTATCTTATTAAATGCAACTTCTGATCCAGGAGGTCTGGGATGGATTCTGAAGCCTCTGTTTTTAAGCTCTCAGGGTGCTGATGCTTCTAGACTGTGGCTCATGCTCAAAGCAGTAGAGGATTTTTTTCCCCCCTTCAGTGGGGTCAGTCTAATGGGCCTTTCTGGGTCCAGGAGGATTTGGCTAGCATTTTGCAGGAAGGCAGAATGTGGTTTGGTGGAAGAGAAAGGCTGAAGGGACAAACTAATTAGTCTGTGTAAAGACTCAAGAGACCCCAGAGTATCAGTATTTGTGGGGGACAGAGGCCTGCTTGTGGGATTACACTGGTGGATCCATCTGTGTTTTGCACCTGAGAAAATATATCAGTCAGCTGCAGATCCTTTTTCGTTTTTGTGAAATTTTATCTTGTCTTCTGCCTGACATTTTTGGTTTAACTTCTTTCAAATCTGGACTTTGGTAGATTTACATAACTAGAAACTTTGTGAAATCCTAGGAGAGGAGTGCTTGGTTGTCAAAAAGACATTCTGTGTATGAGTCTTAGGAGTGGAATATGGGCCTATCAATCCTGCCCTGAGAGCCTGCCTAATTAGCTACCTGAGCCTGGACAGGGGACCTGAATGACTTACTGCTTGGCCCCAGATGAATAAACTCATTAGTTACGGAAAAAATGCAGATGTATTTCTAGGGTACAGCTTACTTACAGATATAGCTTATAGCTTTCCTTGTTTTTCCACTTGAGCTGGATGACTGGTTTGGATGTAATCTTTAAAATCTTTTGGTTCAGGATGGAAATATTAAAGCCACATCATTTCTTGACTCTTAGCATTACTCCACTCCAGTACTCGTACTACTCCCCGAAATGCTAAGTGGTCTTCTAAGCACCAGGTCTAGTCTCAGCATAAGAGCTTGCCCTTCTGAGCTTTCCCTGAGGCCCTGAAAGCATCACTGCCCTGTGCTTCACCAACATTCAGTTCCCTGGCCTCTCCAAGTACTTTATAAAATACACTCAGGAGATTCAAGTTTGATCCCTAGGTTGGGAAGATTCCCTGGAGAAGGGCATGGCAACTCACTTCTGTATTCTTGCCTGGAAAATTCCATGGACAGAGGACTGTGATGGGCTACAGTCCATGGGGTCGCAAAAAGTTGGACATGACTTAGCAACTGAGCACATACGCTCCTAGGAGGAAAGGCAGTGAAATCACTTGCAATATAATACTAGTATATTCTCACAGCCCCACAATGAAGTCAGAAGACAATCTCTATTTTCCAGTGAGAGATACTTTAAGGAACAAACAGTAGCGTGCTTGACCACTGTCTCACAGAGAGGTGTCCCCATGCCTGGCCCAGTTCTCTGGATCTTCCTTGTTTTCCATTCAACAGACTTGTCTTGCTTTTTTGAACATGTAGTTGTATTGTGTTGTTTTGTTTTGACAAGCAGTTTTTTATTTTTTATTTTTTGTTTTTCATCATTTATTTTTATTAGGTGGAGGCTAATTACTTTACAATATTGTAGTGGTTTTTGCCATACATTGACATGTATCAGCCATGGATTTACATGTGTTCCCCATCCCGATCCCCCCTCCCGCCTCCCTCCCCATCCCATCCCATCCCTCTGGGTCTTCCCAGTGCACCAGCCCTGAGCACTTGTCTCATGCCTCCAACCTGGGCTGGTGATGTGTTTCACCCTTGATAGTATACTTGTTTCAGTGCTATTCTCTCAGAACATCCCACTCCTGCCTTCTCCCACAGAGTCCAAAAGTCTGTTCTGTACATCTGTGTCTCTTTTTCTGTTTTGCATATAGGGTTATCATTACCATCTTTTTAAATTCCATATATATGCATTAGTATACTGTATTGGTCTTTATCTTTCTGGCTTACTTCACTCTGTATAATGGGCTCCTGTTTCATCCATCTCGTTAGAACTTATTCAAATGAATTCTTTTTAACAGCTGAGTAATATTCCATTGTGTATATGTACCATAGCTTCCTTATCCATTCGTCTGCTGATGGGCATCTAGGTTGCTTCCATGTCCTGGCTATTATAAACAGTGCTGCGATGAACATTGGGGTGCACGTGTCTCTTTCAGATCTGGTTTCCTTGTTGTGTATGCCCAGGAGTGGGATTGCTGGGTCATATGACAGTTCTATTTCTAGTTTTTTAAGGAATCTCCACACTGTTCTGCATAGTGGCTGTACTAGTTTGCATTCCCACCAACAGCGTAAGAAGGTTCCCTTTTCTCCACACCCTTTGCAGCATTTGTTGCTTGGCTTGCAGTTTTTTAAAGCATGATTTTCTAGGTGCCTCCAGAAAACAAATACTTATTTCCCAGATGCTCTTTAGGTATTTTTCAAGTGTTTGTTTACATCCTTATTTAAGCATCTCCAGGTAGGATGCTGGTTTGTCAGCATACTTACTTATTATCCTGCTGGAAGGAATTCTGTTTAATTCCATAAGTACTCATTGAGTGTTTAATATATGCTCAGCTCTGCTATTCTTGAAAGACAGAAAAGCAGTGTATTCTCCTTAGCTCTGTGAGATTATCTAGGATGGGAGCAAGAGAAACATAAGCAGGACTTGGCCTAGGGTGAAGCATACAAAGTGCAGGGCACAGACTTGAAGGAGGCACTCACCCTTAAGGTCATGCAAGTGCAGGGTCAGTACCTGAAAATGTGTGCCTGTGTAAATTTTGAGTCCTCGATACCTTGTTTATGTCACCCTGGCCCTGGCCCTGGATTTAAGCAGCAGTTAGATTACTTAGAAAGCATATGTAAGATAATGTAAGACTGTGGTTCTAAATCGTTTGCTCAGGTACCACCCAGCTGGGCCTTTCCATTTCCTGCATCTACTTGTCCTCTCTTGGAGAGGACCTCTGACCTTTCAGGGAGATGAAGGGCTGAGTCAGGTCACTTGAATAAATTCTGTGAGACAGTGTAAAGTAGGACAGGGGGGTGGTTGATTTCATTACCTTGGTTGGCTATGAGAAGCCTTGGGATATTGTTTCTCTCTTCCTCTCTCTCTTTCCCTCTTCTCCTTACCCTCCTATCCCTCCCCTCTCTCTTTTTCTCCCTTTCCTTTCTTTCCTCCCTTTCCTTCCTTCCCTAGATGGGATATGTAGAAACCAGAAACCCCTCCTTAAGCAATGGTGAACATTCCCAGCGTGCACACATAAAAGATGCATGGTAAATATGTACCAATTTAGTAGCAGAGTGGAGTTCTGCCCATTTTACTTCAAACATTCCACTTAAGGTACTTTTCTGAAGTTATCAGAGGAACAGTGGGAAACTGGGTCTTGAACTTCATAAGTACAAAAGGAATATATGTTGATTGATTCCTCTGAGTGTTTATGAGGGCTTTTCTTCTCTACATCAAAAAGCATTTTCAATACTTACCTGGCAGGGGAGATACCATGATCACAAAGGTGGTTTTCCCAGGGCGAGGCTTATCCATTGCACTCTGGATGTGCTGACCCCTGCGATTTCCCCAAATGTGGGAAACTCGACTGCATAATTTGTGGTAGTGGGGGACTGCGTTCGTGCTTTCCCCTGAAAGAAAAAGAGAGGAAGAAAAAAAGCATTTTCAGCTCAGTTCAATGTAAGAACATATTGAGTGACTTATGTCCTGAGGTTTGGGTTTTCTTCCATATGGCTACAAGGGAGTAGAAGACTTAAGCTCTGAACTCAAAGAATTTAGTATTATTCTGTTGTTGTTCATTCGCTCCGTTGTGTCCAACTCCTTGTGACCCCATGGACTGTAGCATGCCAGGCTTCCCTGTCCTTCACCATCTCCTGGAGTTTGTTCAAACTCATATCCATTGAGTCAGTGATTCAATCCCACCACTGCTCTAGAGCAGTGGTTTTTCACCTGGGGACAGTTTTTCATCCCTTGGGAGGGGCAGTTGATAATATCTGTAGACTTTTTTAGTTGTTGTATCTGTGAAGATGCTACTGGCATCTGTGGGTAGAGGCCAGGGATGCCTATACATTATACAATCTACAAAACCCCCCCTTCCCAAACAACCCAGAGAATTAACCAGTCCCATACTATCACTAGTGTCCAGGTTTAAGAAATCCTGCCATAAAAGGGTAAGACTAACAAATAGAACTGGGAGCTTTGTGGTTGGAAGGTCATACCACTGACAGCAGAACAGGGACTGATGCTTAGTCTAAGGAGGCCAATTAGAGTCAGATGGTGTTATATGACAGAATATTTTATCTAGCTTCATATCCCACAAATCCTGATTCATACTTTTAGTTCTAGCAAATGTGTGATCCCTGTATGTTGGGCAGGAACAGTTCTAAGACAGTAATGGATGTTTATGGTGGTGTCTTTCTACAGGTGGATATGTCAGAACTCTCTCCAGAGGAGCAATGGAAGTAAGTGTGACAGAACGGGCCCGTCATGGTGGGAACCATAGATTAATCCTACTGATAGAGTTGTGTACCTACCCTTTTTGCTTCCTTGTCTGTGGGAGGCAGTGACCTGTGACGAGGAGGACAGGTCATTTGAGATCTTTCCCAGTATTTGAGTCACTCCTGGGTAGCTCCCTCAATCCTTAGGAGTAAATAGATAATTGCACCAAACCATCCATCTGGGTTTGAATACTACTTCTGCCATTTCCTAGTGAAGTGATCTTGGGCAAGTTTACTTCATATTACCTTAGTTTTTCCAATTTGTAAAATGAGGAAAATTACAGTACCCATATAATAGAGTTGTTGTGAACATTAATAATTGTGAAATTCTTAGAACAGTGCCTGGCATGTGGTAAGCTTCCAGTAAGTGTTACCTGTTTTGAGGATGGTTATCATCGTTAGCATCATTATTATCTGGGAACCAGGGCAGAGAGCTCTGTTTGAGAAAATGGGAGATGTATCTTCTGATCTCACATCTGCTACTAACTTGCTTTGTAACCAGAGTGAGTCAACAAATATCTTATTGTCATTATTTCTCCTCAGTAAATGAGTTTCAAGAATGCTTATCCCTCAAACTTCACAAGGTAGCTGACCAATGAGCTGAAATCAACCCAGTGAAGTTTTAATAGTGAGAAAAAAAGCACTTCATTTAAAGGAAAACTATTGATGATAAAAATATAGAATGGCAAAGATAGTGACTCAAATGACAAGATTTTAGGTGACTTTAAGTGTAATATGCGCCAGTTCTATACCTGAGCTACCAGAATATTCCACATTTTGGAATGTGTTCATTGAAAGTATGCTATCTGCCTTAAGGGAAGTAACAGTACTACTGTGTTCTGTTTTGCTGAGTCCACACTGATTGTATTGTAAATACTGCACATTAAAAGATCTTGAGCTAAATACATCTAGAATGCATTCAGAATTAATGGTCTTCACATTATGTTATGTGCATGTTTAAAAGATTTAGAACTGTTAGCCTAAAAGGGCCCAGGAAAATGGTGTTAAGAACAGGATTTTTTTTTTTAATGAATTAAAACAAAATTATTTATTCATATTTATTTTTGGTTGTGCTGGGTCTTCGTTGCTGCGAGGGCCTTTTCTCTCGTTGCCACAAGCAGGGACTACTCTCTAGTTGTGGTGGGTGGGCTTCTTATTGCAGTGGCTTCACTTGTTGCGAAGCATGGCTCTAGGCCATGGACTTCAGTAGTTGCAGCTCCAGGACTCTAGAGTGCAGGCTTAGTAGTTGTGGACAGGCTTAGTTGCTTCGTGGCATCCGGGATCTTCCCGGATCAGAGATTGAACCTGTTTCTCCTGCATTGGCAGTGTATTCTTTACCACTGAACCACCAGGGAAGCCTGGTTTTGTTTTTTGGCTTTTTAAAATAATACTATGATAAATATTTGAAGGGGCAGCATTGGGAAAGAGAGAGTGGATATGTTCCAGAGCATAGGATTAAGTCTGAAGGATTGATGCTGTAGTAAGATAGATTTTATCTCATTATCAGAAACATCATTAAAATATTCGTGGTATATTGGAACTTCCCTGGTGGTCCATTGACTAAGGCTTCATGCTCCCAGTGTAGGGGCCCCAGGTTCAAGCCGTGATGAGGGAACTAGTTCCCACATGCCACAACTAAGATCTGGGGCAGATAAATAAATACTAAAAAAAAAAAATCGTATATTGTGAGATACTGAGCTTCCTGCTTCTTAAAGCATTAGAATTTTACTCCTTCATAGGCACATATTAGTACTAAAAATGTGTCAGACACTGCTGGTTCTAAATAGGTTACTTTAAGAGGCATATATTCTCAGCCAGTGGAGGTATTCAAACACAGAATTGCAAATTTGAGCTAGAGGACTTCTATTTTTTCTCATTCTTGTACACATTCAATCAGTTATATACTGTCTGAGAATAGGAAACTTATCTTTTATTGCCTTTATAACTCCCCACAGTCCATAGGTTTTTAAATATCCATTGCCCTTTTAGTTTGGGCAACAAATAATCCTATGAGGGAGGCAGAAAAGATATGGACTCCTTTTGATAGATGAAGAAATTGTGGTGAAGAGATGAACATTCTTTTGGATAAGATCACATAGGTGTTTCTGAACCTAAGTTTCTGACTCCTTCCCGTATTAATATATTTTGTCAGATTCTCCCACCTAGGATAACAATTTATGTAAGATGAACCCTTAGGTACTGTGGCTGCCTGGCTGGCTGACATTTGGCTGCCTACCAGATCTTCCCACCTAACATTTTATTATGTTATGAAAAATCTCCTATACAGAAAAGTTTAAAGAATTGTACAGTGAACACCCTTGTACCTACCACCTAGAATCTGCAACTAACTTTTTGCTATATTTCTTTATGATTTATCTGTCTATAATGCATCCCACTGGTGGTTCTTGTTTAGTCTCTCATTGCCCTTGGGAATTCCATGAAGATACATACTATTTATGTGTCCTTTCCCTTTCTCCCTGATACCCTCTGGTATGGAGAACTTCCTGGGTGGAGATGGAAATGGCAACCCATTCCAGTGTCCTTGCCAGGAGAATACTATGGACAGAGAAGCCTGGCAGGCTACAGTCCATGGGGTCGCAGAGTTGGACACAACAGAGTGACTAAACCCCCACCATCACCACCATGGAGAACTTGCACCAAAACTCCTGACCACAGGTTACATTTGTATTCAGTTTTCTAATTCCTTTATTCCTCTCCGTTAGCTGACTCTGACCCAGAATGGTAGGATTGACTTTTCTGTTCTCAGAGGAAGCTTTTTGCCTGTATTGGCCAAGGGAATCACTCTCTGCCAATCCTCAAGACAAGAGAATGCCAGCCTTGGATTAAACAAGAGTTTCTAGCTTTTCTTTCCTTGAGCCCATGAAGAGACTATTTACCTCTGGACACTGATAGTGAAGTAGTATAAAGCTGAAGCAGTTCAGATTTTTCAGGCTTTAGTCTTAAGGATCTCTGATCCTGACAGAGAGGGTAGGACAAATGAAGCAAGACTTTAACCCTGAAATTAGCACACATTTGCAATATTACTCCTTTATTGGTGTCATAAATATCATTGAATAAGAGTATGAGCCTTTATGGCTGTGACCTTCTTTCTCAGTTACTTTCTCCTTCCTGTGACAGGTTGAAATAGGACCAAAATAGAAAGGAATCCATTGTTTCTACCATTAGGGGTGGGGAGCAGACCACCAACCTTTAACCCCATACCTAACCTTGGTGACTGGAGCCCCTAGAACCCCTGTTCTGTCTCAGAATTCCTGTCTTCTAAGGCATGTGTCTTTCTAGCACCTAATTTGTACAGTTTAAGAGTATGTTCTGGACTTCCTTTGTGGTCCAGTGGTTAAGAATCTGCCTGCCAATGCAGGAGACACAGGTCCGATCCCTGGTCTAAGAAGATTCCGCATGCCTCAGAATAACTAAGCCTGTGCCCCGCAGCTACTGAAGCCTGCGCACTGCAACTGGAGAGTAGCCCCCTCTCACCGCAGCTAAGGAGAGCCCACATGCAGCAACAGAGACCATGTGCAGCCAAAAATAAAAATTTTTATTATTTTTTAAAACAGTGTGTTCTGAGCTATAGACCAGTGGGTATCCCTGGAAAGCACTGCCCCTTTATCACCACACCATCCCTGACCTAGCTCACTGCATCTGTTTGGCTTTCAGGGTCGAGCACGCACGCATGCATGCCAAGCATCGCGGCCACGAAGCCATGCATGCTGAAATGGTCCTCATCCTTATCGCTACCTTGGTGGTGGCCCAGCTGCTCCTGGTGCAGTGGAAACAGAGACATCCCCGCTCCTACAATGTAAGCCACTTTACTCATTTCTTTGCTTACCAGTCATCAAGAGGCTCTTCTTAAGTATTCTAGAGTCCAACCTAACCCAGGCCTCATGTAGGCAAGGAATCGATAATAATAATAAACTGTGTGTATGAATGGTGTGTGGTGAATGTGCCTTTAAGGGACAAGTGATTCAGATGGTGAAAACTGGGCTAGCACCTGAACCTACTATCATGGCCAGAAAAGGTAGGTCATTCCTTTTAACATTGTGGGATAGATTCATCAGGAGCTATTCAAATAGATTAGAAAGACCAAGCCTCCAGTGAATCTTTAGATTAATATTTTAAAAAGGCAGTGACAATGGGGAGGCAATGTAGCAAGTGATGAGAAGGCAGGGTCAGAGAGTAGAGAGACCTATAAAGATACTAAAAGGAAATGAGAAAAACGTAAAGCATACAAAACATATAGCTAAATGGCAGAAATAAATGGTTCCTTATTAGTAATTACTTTAAATGTAAGTGAATTAAATTCTCCTTTAAAAGGGCAGATTGTCAGATTGATTTAAGAAAACACATTATCCATCCATATACTGTCTGCAAGATAATCTAGATACAAAGAAACGAGATAAAAGTAAAAGGATGGAAAAATATATTTGATGCAAATGATAACCAAGAAAGAGCTGGTGGCTCTTGAATGTCAGACAAAATAGACTTTTAAATCAAAAAAGGTACACGAGATAAAGAAGGAAGTTGTTGTTCAGTCACTAAATCATTTCTGACTCTTTGCGATCCCATGGACTGCAGCGTGTACCAGGTTTCCCTGTCCTTCACTGTCTCCCGAAGTTTGCTCAGATTCATGTCCATTGAGTTGGTGATGCTATCTAACAATTTTATCCTCTGCTGCCCCCTTCTTTTGCCTTTAGTCTTTCCCAAAATCAGGGTCTTTTCCAGTGAGTCAGCTCTTTGCATTAGGTGGCCAAAATATTGGAGCTTCTGTTTCAGCATCTGTCCTTCCAATGAATATTGAGGGTTAATTTCCTTTAAGATTGACTGGTTTGATTTCCTTGCTGTACAAGGGACTCTTAAGAGTCTTCTCCAGCACCGCAATTCAAAGACATCAATTCTTTGGCACACAGCCTTCTTTATGGTCCAACTCTCATGTCCATGCTTGACTACTGGAAAAACTATAGCTTTGACTATGCAGACTTTTGTTGGCAAAGTGATGTCTCTACTCTTTAATACACTGTCTAGGTTTGTCATAGCTTTCCTTCCAAGGAGCAAGCATGTTTTAATTTCATGGCTGCAGTCACCATCCACAGTGATTTTGGAGCCCAAGAAAATAAAATATGTCACTACTTCCACTTTTTCCCCATCTCTTTGCTGTGATTACATATTGATAAAAGGTTCACTGCAGCCAGAAGATACAACAATTACAAACATATATGCAGCCTAACAAAGGAGTCCCCAGGTAGATGAAGCAAGAATTAACAGAATTGAAGGGAGAAACAGATGGTTCTACAGTAATAGTTGTAGAGCTCAGTACCCCACTTCTCATAATGGATAGAATAACCAGATAGAAGACTAACAGATAACAGAAGACTTGAACAACATTATAAACCAGTTAGACCTAACAGACATACACAACACACTGTACCCAACAACAGCAGAATACATGTTCTTCTTAAGTGCACATAGCCCGTTCTCCAGGATAGACCATATATTAGGCCACAAAGTAAACCTTAGTAAATTAAAAAACATTGAAATCATAAATGCAACTACTCTGAATGAGGACATAGCAGGTAGTAAACTAAATTCTTTTACAACTATTATCTTAGAAGTATTTAACCTTTTCAAGTATAACAACTCTTCTTTAACATAAAAAACTTGGCAAGCATCCACATGATGATAATTATACTTTGAAAGAATACATAAACACATATGGTAGTGTTCAGTTCAGTTGCTCAGTTGTGTCCGACTCTTTGCAACCCCATGAACTGCAGCACACCAGACCTTCCTGTCCTTCACCAATTCCTGGAGTTTACTCAAACTCATGTCCATTGAGTCGGTGATACCATCCAACCATCTCATCCTCTGTCGTCCCCTTCTCCCGTTCCACTCTTTGCCCAACTATTTGCCATGAAGTGATGGGGCCAGATACCATGATCTTTGTTTTCTGAATGTTGAGCTTTAAGTCAACTTTTTCACTCTCCTCTTTCACTTTCATTGAGAGACTCTTTATGTTCTTCTTTACTTTCTGCCATTAAGGGTGGTGTCATCTGCATATCTAAGGTTATTGATATTTCTCCTGGCAATCTTGATTCCAGCTTGTGCGTCATCCAGCCCAGCGTTTCTCATGATGTACTCTGCATCTGAGTTAAATAAGCACGGTGACAGTATACAGCCTTGACGTACTCCTTTTCCTATTTGGAACCAGTCTGTTGTTCCATGTCCAGTTCTAACTGTTGCTTCCTGACCTGCATACAGATTTCTCAAGAGGCAGATCAGGTGGTCTCATATTCCCATCTCTTTCAGATAATAGCAATTACTAATTCAGTAAATGTCAGTAATAGCTAACATTTATTGAATTCTTACTATGCCAGCCACTGTTCTAAGCATTTTACATATATACCCCATTTAATCCTCACAATAATCCATTGAATACTATTGCCTCCAATTACGGATGAGGAACTGAGACAGAATGGCTAAGTAACCTGCTTCAGTGGTAAAACCATTATTTGAACCCAGACAGTTTTACTCCAGAGCTTTTAGTCTTAAACCCTAAATGATTCTTTTTCTCTAGTATGTGCTTTTTCAGACCTCTTATAATATGGCCAGAGATACCCAGGGGGTCTGGAGCCCATAGGATAGGACCTGCTAAACTATCTCACTTAACCCTCCTAATAGCCCTTGAGGTAAGTACTGTGAACAAACTGAGGCCCAGAGAGTTCAGGCATGAAGGGGACACTAATTGATAGAGACATGATTTGAATCCAGATCTTCTGTTTCATGTTTCATAATTTTGACTGTGCCTTCTGGAAAGGATTTTCTATTGGGGGAACCGAGGGATAATCTGAAACATAGGAGGAAGAGAGACTAATTTTGCCCTTGAGCTGGCATGTGTTCGAGACATTACTGGCACATAGCCACCTCAAGTATTGTCATGTACCTCAAGTAGAGACATCTGTACCTTCAGGTCATAGTGCATGGAATGACTGTATGACACCAAGGCTTTTTGAACTAGGCATCATCCAACAGACTAAGCCATCTGGATGGAGTTTGATTTCTATACCCTGTTTGTGCTTCACCCTGCCATGTGAGATAAGTCACTTGTTTCTCATTGTGTGTTCACAATACCAATTCTATAAAATGGGGGTTATCAGAATAGTTTAATTGAACCTAGAAACTAAGAAAAATGTTAAGTCAAATGTAGAGTGAACCTACTTCGCATTTCTGTGCTTGTATTTAGTAATAATTATATAATGTTAGCTTATCTGCAGAGATTTTTGAAAATCTCTGAAGAATTGAAGATGCATATATATACTGCAGTGTCTTTCTGTATGTATTTTTTAAAAAAGTAATGACGTCCTTACTTAAAACAGTATCTTTAAGAAAAAACCTGATGTAGAAAATAAGAGGATGCTCTGCTTGGGCTGGTAACCCTCACCCCTCCGCTTTCTCAGGAACATCTATAGGACTCGTCAGAGTGTTAGAAAACCACTAATGTGCCATTCACTAGTTAAGGTAAATTAGTGAGGCCAGTTGTATAAGGAAATGCACAGTCATCTCATTACTTATTGCCATGCCCTGTAAACATTATGCTGAACTGTATTGGTGAGAGGACATGCTAGCATTATAGCATATCTTTCACCGAGAAACTTAAACTCATCTTTAGAAAATTGGAAGAGGAAATCTGTATGTCCTGCTTTATGCTGCTCTTATTCAATAATCATCTATATTGGTTTTGTTAAAACTTCTGTTAACTTGGATACAGTGAATAGTTTTACTGCTTTAAAATACTAACTTTGGAAGAAGAAAAATTCCAAGATGTATGTACACAGTGGCATCTCCTGTCCTTTTTCAAGCTTATCAGAAGTTGGAGCTGTTTGCCTTGCAACAGTAAATATGCTAAGTCAGACTGTCTGACTTGATTAGCCAACGCTCCTGCTTCCTGGCCATATGACTTTATACTTCTCTGAGACTCAGTTCTTCTTATCTCTAAATTGGGGTCATAGTGTCTGTCTCATGTGTTGTGAAGATTATGTAAGTTCACATGGTAAAGTATTTTGTAAACTCTAAAGCTAATGTTAGGGACTTTTTTGCTCCTATTCTTAAGAGAAAAAAGCTCAAGACATAAAAATATCTTCAGGTACTATTTTTTGTGAAAATGGAATAGATTTTATTTTTGTTAAGGACAATTTCACATGACAGAATTCACTATTTTACCTGTTTTAAAGTGTATAATTCAGTGGCCTTTAGCACATCCACATTGTTGTGCAACCACTGTCACTATTCTAGAACATTTTTGTTGGAGAAGGCACTGGTGACCCACTCCAGTACCCTTGCCTGGAGAATCCCATGGACGGAGGACCCTGGTGGGCTGCAGTCCATGGGGTCACTAAGAGTCAGACACTACTGAGTGACTTCACTTTCACTTTTCATTTTCATGCGTTGGAGAAGGAAATGGTAACCCACTCCATTGTTCTTGCCTGGAGAATCCCAGGGATGGGGGAACCTAGTGGGCTGCCGTCTGTGGGGTCACACAGAGTCGGACACAACTGACATGATTTAGCAGCAGCAGCAGCATTTTTGTTACCCCGAAAAGAAGCTCCATACCCATTAAGCAATCACTTCCCATTTCCCCCTTCCCAGCACACCCTGGCAACCACTAAGCTGCTTTCTGTGTATTTGCCTATTCTGGATATTCATATCAATAGAATCATACAATATGTGGTCTTTTGTGCCTGACTTCTTTCACTTAAAAATGTTTCCAAAGTTCATTCACACTGCAGTATCTACCAGTACTTTGTT